CGCAGCTTTAGTATATGCTCATATAAAGAGGACTCCACAAATTTCGTGATTAGATTCTTCTATATCTGCTGGTTTGCTAAGTCCAAAATCAGCAATGCAAGCATGTTCACGATTTATTAATGTATTTCGAGGGTGAAAGTCACGATGCACAATATTCTCATCGTGAATATTATCCAACCCTTTAATGATACCCATTAAATTAAATAATTTTTCTTCCCAATTCAAGTACGTATCTAGAATTCATATCACAAAGATGCTCAATTGGGTTAAAGATCGAGGTTTTGTGCAGGACAAAAAAATGATTCAATATCATTTTCTTTTTTCCATTCTTCTACGCGTTCGAAATCAGTAAGTTGTTTACGTTGAGAATATTTTATATTAGTCATTGAAACTTAAATTCATTCAATGTCAAGAATGCTTCACTTTAAATAAAAACTTTTTAAGTTTCGCTCAATTTTAAATAATAAATCAAAGTACGTATCACATTGATTACGTTTCAATTACAAGTTTTTTGTTAACAGTATGGTGCATACCATCTAAAGTCATCAAACGTTTGTATTCTATAAAATGGACAAACTTCTTTACTAAGAAATAAATACAAAATTTAATCCGTAAATATGATAGAATATACCGTTTCCGAGCATATTTACGGATTAAATTTTGTATTTATTTCTTAGTAAAGAAGTTTGTCCATTTTATAAAATGACTTTAGATGGTATGCACCATGTATTGATTATATTGTTAACTATATTAGGTCATTTTAAAGTCGTAATAATCACTCCATGTGAAAAGCCATCTCTTAAACTTTTTTATTGCAAAATTGAATAACTAAATATATCATAAGGTTATTTTAAAAACCAAACATTATAATGCTTGAAGTTTTTATATGAATCGAAAGCTAAAACCTCAGCTTAATTTATCACTATATTCGGGCACAATTGCAATTCAGATAACTTTTCGGAAAATGACATACTGATCATTTCGGACGTAACCTTTTAATGGTTACCAGTTTGGGGTCTCAATTAATTTTTTTATCAGTATGAACAAACCGTTGATCTCAGAAATTTTATATATATTGCTTTAGTACAATCAATAATTCATCAAGTTATATACCAATACTACAAGTGTTCCATCCATATTCATACCAAAAATATGAAGTTATCGTTATCACTAAAAGCTAGAAAGCAATCAACAATAAAAAAAATCATATTTTGGATTTTTTTCGGCCTATTAACAAGAGAGTTCGTATTAGCGATGCCAGCGACAAAGTCTCCTACTTCAAGTTCTAGTAAAAAAGGGGGATCTGGTTACCGTGGTCGTAGTTCTGGATCAAGTAGACATTGGGTGTTTTGGTATTATTATTATAATGGCTCTACATACAGCCGTCGATGTGGGAACTTTTGTATTCTGACATTTGTTCTCATCGGATTTATTCTTTTTACGATAATCGCATGTGTCTGCTATCGATGTTTTAAAATTTATCGTCAATCAAAAAAAGATATATCCAGTTCTGGCGGAAAGTAATGACGGCCAGTTTTTTGAGTATATTTCATTCAATTATATGACAAGTAGCATTAAATTTTTCAATTCCGTGATTTTTACTCCTAATTTCCACATGAATATCTTTCCATAATTCCCTACATGATACGTAATCATTCCAAAATTAGTTTCTTGTGTAGGTTCTATTGTAAACCAAATTTAGAAGTATTTCGTTAGGAATACGTAGATATTACCGTTGCCTTTTTTACGTATCGGTATATCAGATTACGAACATTCCATCGTTCTTTAATATTAATGTACGTAACGATTATCGAGAAGACAACAATCCGATAATTATTTAGACAATCGAGAACATTGAACGATTATTGATGCACCCTATTTTAGTATTGTTTTTCTTAGACAGGCCGTAGGGCTCCGAATTTACCGAACCGTTATTTTACCGAGATTTCGGTAATTACCGACATCTTCTAATTATCGATCGGTAATTTGGTAAACTTCGGTAATTGTGATATTAACACATTATCACATGTATAAATAATTCGTGAGATTTGAACGTAAAATCGACCATAATGTCAAGTTTTAACACACTATTGGTTGGTTTCTATTCTACGTATAGGTAAAGTTTCATAAATTTTTGCACATTGCTTCACGAGCTATTATCCGAAACGCAAATAAATCGCTTAAATGCGTTGTAGCAATTTATTTACGTTTCACATAATATCTCGTGAAGCAATGTGCAAAATTTTATATATTTTTAATTATTAGCATTTAGTGTTAAAACTTGACATTATGGTCGATTTTACTTCAATTTCACGAATAATAGTTTGGCAGTGTATTGATTCATTGATCAACATTTCGGTAAACCGTCGGTAATTATTCGAAACAAGTGATTCGAATAATTACCGAAATCGGTTTACTGACCGTTCGGTAACGGTTTTTTACCGAATCATTCGGAGCCCTACGTATCAATAAGTCCTGTCATATTTGTATCGATTATTGTTAAAATAAATATTTTATTATAACGAATTGAATTCTTGTTGCAAGAGTGATTTCATTCTATCTACTTTTCCAAACACCCCTCCTTTTCCTCCTTATTGTTGAGAAAAGGTCGATTTGTGTACAGGTTGCCACAGGAAGCCTTTAGGACACCCGAAGAAACCCTTCAACCGTAAATAATTCACGCGGAAAATCCCTTGATCGATCGATTGTTACAATAAACATAACAATCTGGTGCCCCGATCCATTCGTCGTAAAGTAAACCCTTTTAACTAAACATTGAAGGGAACGCAACAGTATCATCTAATAGTGCATTTATCGCTATCAAAATTTACTTTTTGAGCATTTATTATTGTTATTATCGTTATCAATTGTCATAACGAATTTTGATAGCGATGAATGCACTATTAGTGATACTTGATTCACGCCTACATGTTATATTTGCAGTACTGTGTAAAAGTGCCATTTTTTATCTTTATTGACACACCCTTAATATGCATACACAACGTGACGTCTCCTTACATGTTCAAAAAATCATAACTGTAAAAAATCAACAACAAAATACACATATCGATATTTATAAGTAATACCTTGAATCAAAGATAGTTTCATAGGCTAGATTTTGAGATAAAGCTTTTTTATTTGTGTTACATTTTGATCTTGCAATTTAATTGGTCATCATCGCTGACATCATCGAGAAATTGTCACGTGGCCCGAACTTTCGGTGATCACCCTGGTGGATTCGTCAGTGTTTAATCAGCCAATCAGTGATGGAAATTACTTGCGTCCAATCAGAACTTGGAAGAGAAATTAGGAACGCGCTAAAAGAATCCAAACCGGAAACCATTTGAAATTTGCGATGGCACAAACGAAATAAAAAAATTAACACCCAATGCCAAATACTCACAAGGAAACTCGGTACGAAAGCAAACTGGAAAGCGGTCGCATAAGTTGTTAGGGGAGAGTTTGGCCGCCATTTCCGTTGCGCTGGTGTTGCGAATTTCTCCAGTTTCCAATTTTATTTCATGACGGTGGCGTTGTGAGTATTCGGCGCTTCTTTTCGTCACAACCTGGGCCAAACCACAAAACAAGACATTCGTTTGTGATAGCGATGGTGTTATGCAATCATTGAATGTGTTACAGATATAGGTCATGTGTATTAAGTCAATCCGGATCATTATAAGATTATCCGAATTGACTTAAGCCTTAATTCACTACATGGTTTTAGACGGTGGTTTCAAATCCCGACCGTGTCATTGGCTATATATATACGATCAATAAAGTAACATCTTGATATAACGATAATAACACGTTATTATAAAGCGCGCCCACTGTATTTCAACACATGAAGTTCTGTATCGGTATATTTCCAGCGGTTTTTTTTACGTGACCGTTAATCTCATCGAGATATATGTGCATACACACCAATACTGCTCTTTGAAACACGCATCACTATATTTTCAATGCACAACACATTTCAGACGAATATTTGATAAAATGCGTAGCAAGCAAGGAAAATAAATGTTTGTGCATCCATTCATTAAGCATCTATGTTTAATGCATTCCTTTATATTGCGATATGAACGAATCTTTGAATGCTTCAAGTTTTTATATCAATTGTCTTATCAATACGAATTTGAGGTGTCAAGTCATTTTTCCATTTTCCTAAAGGAACTGTTTCAAATCCTCCTTTTACTGAATACTTTTGTGTCCAAAGTCAATCATCTTGAATGTCGTTTTATTTTCCATATATATATCTATCTCGTGATTTCCAGTACTTTTTTTATTTTTTATCTCATCAAGATGCACATGCATACACCAATATTGCTCCCACAAACAACAGTTTTTTAAGGGTGCAAACGTTACGATATTTGAAACGTGTAGATTGGCCTTGTGAAACACCAATATCATTTTGTCTTCGAATAAAGGAATTCAAACCCCCAATACCAATTAGATAAAACGCATTGATTCGTATGTTTCTTGCAATAGGAATTTTTGTAATTCCAATCTCCAAAATATGCAATTCTCACTTACATCTTAGTAAATTAAAAATTTGAACTTTTGAGCCTTCTGTATTTTATTCACGCTCCTCAATTCAAAATCGGTAGAGCGCATTTCATGTTCAAATTATTTTGTATGCGTGTGATAATTCCCCTCGTTATTTTCAATCTTTCAGCAACCGACTCTGGAATTTCAGCTAAAGACATATCTGGATAGAAAAATCGAAGAGTTATGAATCTTGGATTGAAATATATATAGTGAGAGCTCGTTACAGTAACACTCTTTAAGATAACATCTCGTTACTAAGAACACCAAATCTCTTCCCCCTGTCACGTTATTGTATCGAGCTTTTATGTAATAATCGTTAATGAATGTTAAAAATATGTATAAGCATGCTTTAATTAATCTACTATACCACGAATTATCGTAGCTGAGAATTCTAAGGTTAACGCTCGAATGACATGAATATACAATTCACAGAATCATATAAAATAAATCTAACGCTAAATGAGAAGCTTGAAAATAATGAAAATTACAATTGAAAACAAATGAATATTCAATTCACTGAACTGAGATAGGCCTAAAGAGTATATTAGAGGTGACGGCGTAGGACTTCCAGCAACAATTACAATAGCTGTTTGCGTACCCGGAATAGTCGAAGATGAACTATTGGCATTTATTTCGTATGGGTTTCCATTATTAACGATTGAAGTTGTAGCAATAGGGATGATACTTGTGGGTGTTGCGGGAGTTGTGGGTGTTTTAGTTGCAAATATGCTACTAACCAAATCATTAGTGTTTAGGGTAGGTGTGGCGAAAGAAAAAGGCATGGTAGTCAAAAAAGGCGGTAGGTAGTTTGGGCTTTTAAATATAAAATTTGGGTTTTTTAGTAACGAATTAAATTTCAAAAAGATTTAGTATACTAATTAATAAAAGTATGATTTTACATATTTCCATTGTTTTTGTCTTCGTTGTGCCCGTCCTTATCGCGAGCAAATGTTTCGACTATCATGAAATTTAGCAAAAGAATGCAGATGATAACGAAGATTTTTGTATTGGATTGTCGACACGAATTCATTTTCAAAAGAATGTCGTGGGTATCTTGGGGAGAGTGTGTAGGAAAGAGCGATGTTTAGACAACAGAATGGCTGCATAGATACATATATACTGTCGTTGTTATTATTATTGTTTGATTTGTGTTCTATTAAATTTCTATATTAATGTATCACATATCGATATGATTACACGAAAATCCATAATGTCGTTAACGTTAAACGATAAGAGAATATTTATTTCCCATTAATATTACATACATATCAACTATTAAATACAAAAATTCTCTTCATATATAATAATGAAAAGATTCTATCACCAAGAAAATGTTAAAAAAACGAGGGAAAACAAGATCCAGTCAGGTGCAAAGTGATGAGCACCATTGACAAGTTGTGGATTGTCGGTGGGTGTTGTGACTACTACTACTGTTGAAACCATTTCTTTGCTTCTATTGGATAGAATTAAATTGGCTTTATTAACAAATGTGGAATTCGGTCGGTAAAAGAACATGATACAAAAAATAATTATTTACGGTGATGTAGCACTGGAGGAAGGAGTAAAAGTTGAATAAGTAGTTGCTGTAGGTCCTGTTGCCGTTGGACTTGTTGGTGTTGTGCTTGTACCGCTTGTCGTCGTTGAGCTAAGGAATCAACGTTAATGCCCTTATTTTCGAATTACCTAATAAATAATAAATAACGCTCACCTTGTTGTTGTTGTTGATGTTGTTGATGTTGATGTTGTTGATGTTGATGTTGTTGATGTTGTTGATGTTGTTGATGTTGTTGTTGTTGTCGGCGGAAAGATTGGAAATTCAGGTAAAGTTGAAACTGTATTCACTGATAATAACAAAAAACAAATTGTGGTAGCAATTAAAAATGTCAAATTAAAAGTGATTAATTTCATCTTGAAATAAATTTTCTTTAGTTATAATAAAGGTAAATAAAGAGCAGAGATGCCTTTTTATTGTTATCAGCTTATGCTGAAAAACGAATGGCTTTACCCCACAACTAAATGACAAGAACTCCGAACCCGTCGTTTTCACACCAACAATAATTATTCTGATAATAAATAATATGAACCATACTTATGGATTCTCCGATATTATACGCGACAAAATAAAAAGATCGTGATATTCTAATAATTTTTCTATTTTTTGCTAAAAATAACATTTGATCCCACGTGTAAAAAAAGGTATTGCATACTATACCTTATTTATATCTCGTGGTCTAAGACGCACTATTGCATCACAACAATGAAGACTAAAGTCATGAATGGTGCGAATTGGGGTATTAGGATCCACCAATTCCACGTTATATTTCCGAAAGAATAACACCACCAACATCTTTAAAAGAACCATGCCACAAATGCGCCCGGGGCAAATATGTAATCCACCTCCAAATGGATAGAATTTCCTTTTCAAACCTTTATCAAGTACAAGGTGTCGCTCTGGGATGAATTTATCGGCATCTTTCCACAAATCAGAGCTAAGATGCACGGCTTGAAAATTTACGCCAAACTGGGTGTCTGGTTTCCAAGAAAATCCTCCAACTTCAGTCCGTTCGTTATTCGTTCGAAACATGATTGGAGCATTAGGTCGAAGACGTATCGCTAGGAAAAAGACGAGAATTAAAATCAAAGTCGTGAAATCAAAACCAATCAACTTAAGCTTTCATTACATTCATTGAGAGTTGCTTCGATATATTCAAGTTTTTTGAAATCTTCATATGAGCATTCACTATTTGGATCACTAGGAAAGACTGCGTCGATTTCATCTTGAATCTTTTTCGCGACTTTTTTGTCACGGCCAACGTGTTGGATGAAAAATGCGAATGTAGTCGATGCCTTTTCAAAAAATATCCCTTAAATCCATCGGGTTCTTAACATTAATACGAAGAAACCTAAACTAAACTAAACTTACCGTAGAGACGGATGCTAAAATAGTTTCAAAAAGATTTGCTTGAATTTCTTCATCTGTCGCAGGTCTTGAAAAGTCATCATTTGTCTTGTGAGAAATATCTCGTTCCGTATTGGCGATAATCAATGCGTTTAAGACATCAGCTTTAATTGGGGTGCCAATTGGTGTAGCATCGATTCTCTTTCTTCGATTCTGAATGATCTCGGTGAGTAACTCTTTCATCGTGTCATGAGCTGTATGGTATTTCTTAGATAGATTATGATAAATTGTTCTTCTTAGAATCTTAGGAACAGTGGTGTAAAATAAGATTGATTCGAATGACAATTTTACTGCAGTTACAAATTTCGCAATTATTTCTGAATCGCTTGTAGAAATGTCAATCTTTCTGTTTGTCGAAAGACTATTAAAGTGTTTCGCCATAAAATTAACATGTTTTCCTGTCGTGGTAATATAAAACATATCGGAAATAAACTGATTCACCCAGAGTTGAATGTCTTGTGGTTTATCTAATCCTATTTCTTTCCAATACGTCTCCAATTCCCTGAAATGTTGTTGCATCATTCCGGTGAATTCTTTAAGAAAACTCGGCGAATTCACCGCATTTTCAACCAATTTTCTGTTATATCGCCAACTTGATGGAACACGATTAAAAGATATTCCAGTAGTCTCACCCCACTCCTCCAATCCCGAACCATGCGAATAACGAGTAACAAAGGCAGTCTTGGTTGACGACAGGGAGGTTTTGGCAATAAGATCGGCGCTGTTTAACCAGATTTGACGTTGTGAGCAGACCCAGATTTCAAACATGTCGCCATGTTTTTTGTGCAAATCTTCAATCCAGTTTGCCATGTGTCCCGGATTTTGGTAGAGACTGCCGACAACGGGTAAAGGAAACGGACCTGGAAGAGGATTTTCACGCGTGAAATAATAGTAGTAAAAGCATAGAATATATAAGAGAATTGTGATGGCTAGAACAATGAGGCAATCACTAACACTAAAAGATGTAAAAAGTTTAACTAAGGAAGTCATTTTTCCCGAAATCAAAATTGGGCGAGAACCTCATTAATTTATAACTACCCCTTACATCTAAATTTCCAGATTCTCAGATTTCCCACACTAACTGACTGCAACTTGCATCACTCAATGACTACGTACGTACATCTTTTACTAATTTATCGAACAATTTTGTAATTTGATGATGTTTGTTACAATTGCACATGCTCGTTTAATTGTTGCTAAAATAAAAAAACTTGCTTTGCAATCATTTGATTATTGTTAAAGTAAAAAAAAATATGTTAACCAAGTCTAAAAACAAGAAAATGACCGAACTATTCATCAAGATGCCATTAAAGCTGCACTTAAGGCACTTGATAATTCTGAACATCCCAATATTTGTGCAATTGCTCAAAGCTTTGGGATTCCAGAGACAAGTCTCAGACGCGCAATCAAAATAATGGCTTGCTCAAATGTCCTGGTCCCCAACAGTCTTGAATGAAAAGTAAATACAAAATTTAATCCATAAATATGCTCAGAAACGATATATTCTATCATATTTACGGATTAAATTTTATATTTATTTCTTAGTAAAGAAGTTTATCTATTTTATAAAATACAAATGTTTGATGACTTTAGATGATATATGCACCATATATATTATATTATTTTATTTATTATTAATTAGTACAACATATAAAAGATAAAAAGAAAAATTAATAAAAGGCAAAACAATTAATAATAAAGTTTTAAAAAAAATAATACAACACAAAATTTATTAATAAACATAGTAAAAATATGAAAAATACAGATTTTTTTTATATAAAAGTTTTTAGTTTTATCTCAAAATGAAGATAATATTATATTTTAACATATTTTTTCAGATTTTTTAGATTTAATTTGATAAAGTTGTTCTAATTGCATATAAAATTAATAATTTTTTTTATATTCTTGTTATAAAAAAATGATTGAATTTATATAACTTTATCAGATTAAATCTAAAAAAATATATATTAAAATATTTTCATTTGGAAATAAAAATAAAAAATTTTTATTAGTAAAATTAAAAATTTTATATAAAGAGAAAAATTTATATTTTTCATATTTTATTATATTTTATTAACAATTTTTTTTGTATTGCATTATTTTCAATTGTCACTATATATATATTAATATATATAATCTAAATTAATTATATAATTTAAACAAAATTAGAACTATATTAAAATTTATAAATTTTTTTATAATACTTTTTATTTATATATTTTATTTAAAAATTTTATTATCAAATAATAGTTGAGATTTGTAAATTATAATTAATTATATAATAGAAAAATTTATATTTAGTAAAATTTAAAAATATAAAATAAATTCTTTGATAATTCAAAAAATTTCAGATAATAATTTCACTTAAAATTTTTTTTTGAATATTTACTACTTAAATTCAAATTGAACTTTTTTAATTTATATTTCTATAACAATTATTAATATCTTTAAAATTATAGAAATTTGTTTTTTTTAATTTTAATATTATAAATAATAATTATTTTAATTTTTTATTAATAATCAAATAATTTAACATATTTTAATTTATTTAATTATTTGAACAAATATTTTTTATATCTGATATCATTCTTTGTAAAACTCCAATTAATTTATATTATCTAAATTAATATTATTAAAAAAATAAAATTGCAAAATTTAAGACTTGAATCTCTTAAAAAAGAAAATAAATTACTAAAAAATTATAAATAAAATAAAATTATATATTAATAAAGAAATTTTCAAGAATTTTAATATTTCTCAATTAAAACTAGTACTTAAATACTTGATTTTTTAATTTAAAAAACAAAAAATTAATAAATAATTAAAAAACTTTGTTATTTATTTATCTTTTTTAATAAATAATAAATAAAATAAATAAAAATAATAAAAAAAATAAAATGTAAAGCAAAAAAAGAATAAATTATTTAAAAATAAATTAATTATAAATTAAAAAAAGCATAAAGTTAGTACATATAAAAAAGTAAATACAAAAAAATTCAATAAATAAAAAAATAATATTTAAAATAAAAAATAATATTTATATTATACTAATTAATAATATAATAAAAATTAATACTTTATTAGTTTATTTTTGCTATTTTTGCAATATATAATAACTAATAGAATTATAAAATTATATGTATAATTTTATTAATAAAATATAATAAAGTTGAAATTTTGTATTATATAAAAGTTTTAATTTTATTAATAATTATTTTTTTATTTTTATTAATTAATTTTATCAAAACAAAAATTTTAAGTTAAATTTTACATATATTTTTTTGAATATTTTAGATTTTTTTTGACAAAGTTATTGCAAAATTTTTTAGAATTAAAATATAAAATTAATTATAAAAAATTATTTTGTAATTAGAATAATTTTGTCAAAAAAATATTTAAAAAATTCAAAAAAAATATATATTAAAATTTAACTTGTAATTTTTATTTTGATATAAAAATAAAATATATTATAATATAAAAATTTTTATATAATTTCTCATATAATTCTTAATAATACTAAATAAAAGTATATTTTTTATAATATTATTCAAATAATTATATAATTTATAATTATAAATTTGATATTTTAATTTTTTAATTTGTTAAACTAACTAAAGTTATAAAATTAATTTTATTCAATATAATTTACAAAATACTCTTAAATTAAAGCTTTAAATAATTTCAAACTTATAAAATACAATTAAAAATTTATTAATAAATATTTTAAATTTTGAAAAAAAAATAGTTTTATTCAAAATACTAATTAAAGTTATATTAAAATACTATTATAATTTTTAAACATTTTAAACTTGATACTAAAAACATATATTTTTTTCAAAAATAATAATATTAAAATTTAGTTATATTACTTTTGGTTTTAATAAATTATTAAATTTTTAATATATTTGAGCTTGATATTTGTTTTTAATATTCAAAAATTATACATATAACTATTATTAATAATTAATTTTTCAAGTTATATATATTTAATTAAATACTGATTTTAATACTAATTTTAAAACATGAAAAAAAAGTTTGAATTAATATTTTAATTTATACTATTTAAATATTTTAGATTATTTAACTAATTAAAATTCTATTATAGTTAAACTCTTCTATAATCACGCCTGTTTATAGTCATACCTCTCTATAGTTATTTTTCTATTTACATATAAATATAGTAAAAAAAACTCTTTTATAATTATATTCTCTCTATAGTCACCAAACTTTGCTTTTTTAAAGATAATAATTATAGAGAAATTTAATTGTAAGTTGAATTATACTAAATTTAATTCAATTTCAAATTAAACTTGAATTAGTTAATATATAATTTAGAATAATTTAATTTAATTATTTCAATTTGATAATTAATAATATAATAAATAGATTATTTTAAATATAATTAATAATTTTATTTATAATAATAAGTTTAAAAAAGAAAATAATTTAATTATACTTGTTAATTTTTAATTTCTATATTAATATTATTTAATAGAATATAATAAAAAAATTCAAAGAAAAAATTAGATAAGATAATTTAAAAATATATAAATTATATAATAAAAATTATATTATAATAAAAATTCTTTTTAATATAATTTAATAATATTAAATAATTATATATTATTTATATAATTTTATTAAAAGAATTTTAAATTTATATTTAAAATAGATAATTTATATTTATTTTGTTAATAAACTAAAATAATATCAGATAATTTTAATATAACTTTTATTAAATTATAATATAAAATAATAAATTTTTATAATAATTTTAAAAATTAATAGTTTATTAATATAATAAAATCTATCTATAAAATTAATTAAATTAAAATCAAAAATTTATCAATTCTAAACTAAAATATATAATATATTTATATAAATTAATTATAATATAATATTATTAATTTTATTTGTAATCAAAATTATTAAATTCATTTATTATATTAATTTTGTTAATACAATTAATAATATTATTAATTATTATTTTTATTAATATAATAAAGAATGAATGATAAAGTATTAAAAGTAAAATATATATTATTGTTTATTATTAGACAACTATTTTTGAACTTAACTTTACTATATCAAGAGTTTAATTAGTCCTTTACTATATCAAGAGTGGACTGTAATAAGTTTTTAATAAATAATCACAAATGAGTAATTATTTTTTAAAAAGAGAATTATTATTTTGTAATTAGACCTATTTACTACAAATAGCAACCTTCTTTTTTTTTGTATTATCTTTGTATAACGATCCTTTGTCTTTTAAAAATAACTATATTTTTAAGTATTCTATATTGTTCATTAATTTTGTAATTTAATTGGTGAATTTATGGAAAGAATAATTGTATTCAAGAATTATCAATTTTTACAAGTCTAATAATTACTTGTAGAATATAACTCTGACCAAACCGGTGACGCTTAATTGTCACTGGTTTCGACTATAGAGTTGTAAAAACCGTATAATCCTAAACTATAATCTAAACCGTGTGCCAAATAGCATCACATGGTTTAGGCGCCCAACATACCAGTGGGCAGCATAAAAGGAATTCTTGCTGATATAACACATGAATATCTTTGCTAGGAAACTCCGTTTTTTGAATGACGTTTCTTTGACGCTGTACCCCCCCCCCCCCCGGGACAACTCATTTCACTGAAAAAATGTTTTTTCAACAACCCATTTCCCTGACAAGACGTTTCCCGAGTGATATTTATCCGACAGCATATATGATTGTATAATTAGAGTTTTGGTTATGGTTAAGGTCAAAGTTAGAGTTATATGGTAAATTTCGATTGTAAGATAATTGAAAATGAGAGATAAAAACTGACCACGCTGTATATAAGAAATTAATTAGAGCAAATTCGTATTTGTTCCTTGCGAAATCTGCTACAAATAGTAGTTCCGTTTACCACCTTGTAGTCGAGAAATGTCTTGTCGGTGGAATGGGTGATCAATAAATCATACCGACCCTTTTGCTATACCTACCACATCAAATCATGTTAACCTCATATCTATCAGGAAAATATAATTGGCGCGTCAGTACACAGTAAATCTCTTTATAGTGTATCAAAAAAAGTTGCATGTTCTAGCAAAAATTCTTCACTATATCGAGAGTTTTTGAAAATTTATTAGTAAATCTACTATATCGAGTGCTTTTATTAGAGGCAGTTTTGAATATTATTCACTATAACGTGAATTTAATTAATCTCCACTATAACGGGGGTACACTATAAAGAAAGATACTTTGTACTTTACTTGTGTCTAAAATAGCAGTATATTAAATATCTAAAGTTGATTTCTCGACTACTTCCTTCTAAGAACATTGCTATTTTCTCTCCTTAATAATTCTGGAGTTTACATTTTGAAATAGAGTGCAGCAAGCCGAGTAGAATTAAACGGGGGTTTGTGATGACGATAATTGAGATTGGTACATGCCAGAGTTTAATCCGCTCCGGAAAATTTCGCATTAAATCAACAATCTCGATAACATCTAAAGTCATCAAATGTTTGTATTTTATAAAATGTATAAACTTCTTTACTAAGAAGTAAATGCAAAATTTAATCCGTAAATATCGAATAGGCCCTTTCCGAGCGTATTCACGGATTAAATTTTGTATTTACTCTTAGTAAAGAAGTTTATGCATTTTATAAAACACAAATGTTTGATGACTTTAGAATGCACCATAGACTGATAGCTTCTGGCAAGCTCTGGAAAATTTGATTAAATCAACAACTTCAACAGATTGTCTTCTTTTTTTCCCTCCACTTATCAATTAAATTGATAAATCGGTTTGTTTTGTTATGAATTCGCCAATTCTGTTACAAGGATTAAGGCGTGGACGATTGAACGTTATTGTAATAGGGCCAACATCACTTCTCAGCGTAGCTTGAGACGGTGGGATTGAGGTATTGCCTTCTGAATATTGCTGTTCTATTTGCATATTTTGGTGCTGATGTTTTGAACTAGAAACTTTGCTCCTAGAAGGCAAAGCAACTACTGAAGGATGTTGTAGTTTTTGTATATCTTTCAGTCGACTATCTTTTTATACCAATATTTGGAAACGCATAAACAAACAAAATAACGCGTATATCGTGTTTAGATAAAAAAATTTCCTCACTAACAAAACAGGTACTAATGCAGTGCTATATGTCTCTATACGTCACCAATGACGAAGTTGAAGTCCAAAAGGCAGATATTTGAATATATATCAATATTATTTACATTTGTTCAATATTATAATTATATAGCTTCTCTTTATTACTTAATATCCCACCTTTGGCTGTTGCAACCTCAGCAATAACAAATGAATCAGTAATTTCATAAGAGGAAGAATAACTTATTAGAAAACAAAAAACATCATACTTATGTAATGATTTCAGCGAATAAATTATGTTGTTAAATCTACTTTCTTCTTGTAATCATGCAGCCACGCTTTACATATTGTTTAAATCCTCCTTCGTGCATTCTTTTATTAAACTGTCGATATCTTTATTCTGCTAAACCATTCATTTTTGTGGTACTTTTACTACAACCATGAGTATTGTGACATGAGTATTCAAACTTTTAAATTCCATCTTTGGATTCACTTATAAAATAGGTTTAGTTATTATGTGCTGTGTTTTATTTGAAATATTGATAAAATAAACAATGGTTTACTGTACACGAGTCGATTTCTGCGTTAAGCACCGCATAAGTTCTTTGTCAAAAGAAGAGCTGTATCTGCATACGTATAACTTCCGTTTTGTGTGTAAGGATAATTTGTGTACAGTATGTAAATTAATGCTGTGCATATTCCGTGCAAGTTCACACGAACAATGACAGGATAACAGACACAATATTTTCCTAATTATTCCAATAAAAAACCTTCATAGAAAAGAGAACCATTATTATTTAGACATGCATTTCGTTTGAGAAGCGCCATAACATAGAACTTCTATTTGTGTACAGTACATGTATATAAAATTGCTACTGTTGTATGTTGTATAGCGCTAAAAGAGCCATACCTTCATGTGCGTGTCAATACGTACGATCTGATAGCTGTAAATAGCGAACAATATGGTGGTCCGTTATACGTATCGTCTTTCACTTGTGTATATGAAAAACGACACACACACACATACATTGCAACAATGGATCGCATGAATTTGAAGATGAATTTTGACGCTATAATACAATACTAGAGTAAATTTATTATTACAAATATAACGCATATATTGACAGGAAATATATTTTCAATTAAAATACTTGTGCTAGAAACGCCATCATTATCTTCATATATATAATTTCAGATTTTTAAAGCAGATCCAGGTTTAGAAAAAATCAATTGGATCAATATTTCATAGTGATAGGTTCAAATGATCAGTGGTCTGAAGTCCAAAAATCCGGTATGTCAACATTGTTAAAGAGGAGATTGTTCATAAGTTTATTCTTTATTACTTCTCATTGAAAATCTCATTAATTTATAGATTATTAACAAAACCAGAAGCTAGAATTTTGAAAAAAGTTCGAGCTTGAAACCAGACTCGAATCTGTTCTAAATTCTGGTTCGAAAGATTGAAACCCAATCAAAGTCTGGTTCAAGTTTGGTTTGAACTTTGAATTTGACTCAAGCATAACCAAATATCTGGTTTGAGTTCAAGTATCTATTCAATAAGATTTTAGTAAAGTTGTAAGTCATAATTAGAGCTACAAATTAATATAAGATAGTTGATATTGATAATGAATATTCAAAAAATTATATATATTTAAAAAATATTTTCAATTATCATAATTTTTGATTCACTTTAGTTATAATAAATATTTATTTTTCAATAGAAATTATAATTACAATTTTAAATAAAGTTTTAGCTAAAAATAAAACTACAAATTAGTATAAGCTAATTGATATTAATAGTAAATATTCAAATAATTGTACAATCAACTCTTTTTAAATATACTCTCTTAAATATATATATTATATTTTTATTTTATTAATATATATATCCTGATTTAGTTTCAAGTCAATAATATTACTAAGTAAAATACTTTTTATAAATGACAAATTCTCTAAATACAGTCAAATTTCTCTATATTGTTATATAATAACCTTTTGTCATAATATTACATGTTATTGGATTATACATATCTCATATCTTATTGGATAAAGATCAAATCACGTGAAGTGAGTGAACAAGTGAGTGAACAAGCAAATGAGCGAATGAACGAATAACTAAATGAGCAAGCAAATGAACAAGCAAACGAATATTGAACCAATAGAATTTAAGTGATATAATGAACATGAATTTGTATAGTTTAGAAATTATATCTTGAATTTATATAAAAGCAACATGTATTGTAGTTATTAGAAATAAATATGAACAAGTCCTTTTAGATAGTAATTCTTAGTTATCACATTTAATTAGTTATCACGTAGTTTTAATCATTCAAAGAAAAGTAGTTTGCACTTTATGTAGAGTAGATAGTCAAGTGCAAACTCCTCTCTACACTCTTTTGACAAAGTATTCTTGTTTCTTGTATAATAACTTTATAAGAAGTTATACAGATCT